GCTCAAAAGATTGTTTTAGAATACGCGAACGCGAACGCGAAACGCGAAAATAAATGACGATGTAGTCTATAACAGAAAAGATATCGTCAGTTAATGATTGAAACTGCTCAAAATTGGTCATAAATTGCGGTAATTGTCAATTCCTGAGCTGTTTGGGGACTCAACGATTCCTTGCTATCAAAATGGTATCGATTCTGAGATATTTATAGCGATTTGAGTTTTTCCGGCCAAAAACCGCCTTTCCACATGTGAGTTTTCTCAGCTGAATGCACAGTTTTCCACGTAAGAAGCTACTCAATATGCTTGAAAATCCCTCACAAAATGCTAAAAAAATGCGCCAATTTCAGATCAAATAGGCACGTTAATTGACCACTCATGAGCTCATGGAAATCCTCCCTCCTTTAAACATATTTAAACGTGAAATCCATATCTTACCGACTTTTAAATTAATTTAAAATATTCCGTTAAAACTGAAATATTAAAACAAATGTGCAAATTCTTAGCAATAATTTTTCGAAGTTTACCCGAAAAAAATAACTGTACACATGCTTGATATTTATTCTGGAATCTAATGCAAAAACAATCGAAAAACTTTAATTTTAGAAGCCAAAAAGCGGAGTTTCTAAAAGGCATAAACGGTTTCTAATTTCGTTGACTATCAAAATATTCCTAAAATCTCTCAATTGTTCATTTTCGATTGCTTGACAAGATGGTGACGGTCCCGCAATAAAATGTTTCACACTGAGACAAATCAATTTTTTACTTTATTACACAATAAACCGTTAAAAATAATGCATATAATGTAATAATCTAATAAAAAAAACCATATAAATTTTGCAATAAATAGAGCATATGGCTAGCTAGTAAACTAAACTTCATGCATAATGACGTTATTGTTAACTTGGTTTCCTTTAGTTAGTATTTGCCAATTTGCCAGTCTACCTGAATTCGTGTTTCGGTAATAAAAACATTGCATGTGACGAATTGCAGAATGAGAATGAACAGAAGGAATATTTGGCTTAACACTTCCTCAATGACTGCAAACAACGGACGTTAATTGCAAAGCAACAGAAAACGAGTTACTTCAGGACAAATGCATGACAAAAATGATAAGCTAAAGTAACTAGTAAGTTTGAGAACAATCAGACACTGAAATATGTGAAACCGGGTTTAATTACCAGGAAATAACACTCAGCTGCTTTAATAAGCAAACTTTGAAGCATAGATAACCAGAAAATGGCGAAATTCCCTCAAGAATTAACGCCTAATTCCCGAGCGCAAACAATTATTCATCGAAACGATTTCAACAGGCAACATCATGGTGGCTTTTTTATATTTAACAACCGTCCCTATATATCCTTTTGATTATTAATATGCAATCAGTTAAGTGAAGACCCGCACAGTTGCAGCAATATGGCATGGTTAGGAAATGAGCAGTAGTGGAACAAAGTATATTTAATCACACAAGCATAACAGTAAAGAGCTGATTGGCAAATGGGATTTTCGAATAATTCAATTTAAAACTCACATTCTTAGTGCCTTAAATTTCAACTTTGTCGGTCGCAAATCCTTTATGTAAAGCGGATGGTCGATTTTTTGCGGAATGAGCAGCGAAACACACACTTTGAGCATTTTGAACAATCAAACTACAACTAATGGACTAATTACGTTGATTGAATCTATCGTCAATATCTTACTACATACTATTGTTTTCTAATGGTAAATTGTGAAGAGTTTTAGCACGAAAGTGACAAAATAAATTAATTTATAAGCAAAAATCGTGCTGTCTAGAAAAAACCAGAAACTAGAAAAATAATTCCCAGCGATGAGCGCAGTGAATAATGCATACAATCAACAATCACGAATTACTCTATTGTCGATGCAGATGCAATTTCTCAACAGTCTATCAGTTGTGTCTTTTATTGAGACATTTTGCGTTGTACATTGATAATCCACTAAATTTGCGGCAAAATCGTCATTAACGTGTTTTTCGCTTATAACCCGTTTTAATGAAATTTGTCATTAATCCCATGAACAATGAATGTGATTTAACCAGATAAAATACCTTCAAACAATAAAATTGCTATTGAATTGGTTGTTTTTGTACTTGGCAGATAATGCGCTTGGCTGACTTGTTATGTAAATAAGTGGTTTTCATGACAATTTAAGCTTTTCCATGCAGAGGAGATTTGGAGTTGTGAGACAAGGAAGCGGAAACGACAGGAAACAATTGTGATATTCGATGATGTAATTTTATGAGCAGATACGGAATTATCTATTAATACTAACTAATAAATAAATGATATTTTTTTTGAATAACGGTTAGTCTTGTGGATTATTTCCAGACGAGCCCTCTCAATATGTACGCCACTTAATATGCATTATCTCACATGTTACCATCTCGTTTTAGGCTAGTTATAAAAAGTTAGTCGACTAGATTCTTCATTTGCAAACTATCTACTTTCATCTGTCCGGAGAAAGGCCAAGTTGAGAACAATTTGGCAGAAATTTTTCAAGATCATTTAGAAAACTATCGTTTTGTGAAAAAATAAAAATGGTATTAAATTCTTGTGTGTTTATGTCGAGTAAAACGTTAAAGCAACAAGAAAGGCATCGTGTGGGTGCACGATAGGTATTTTTACATTAGTATGTTAATGAAACAGTCGTCACAATACAATGTAATTCCCAGAAACAAACACTTTTAACTGGTAGAAAATTCGGCCAAGAAGCTCGTCTAGAGATCAATTTATGATTTTTACGAATCAAGCATTCCATCTGCTTGTTCGGGGGGATGTATATCAATGTGTTTATGTGGCACAAATCCTGAAGAGCCAAATTTTCCAGTAGATAATAGAATTCATTCATTATTTCAACGCGTTTGTTGGAAATATTCGAATAACCACTTTGCTGTTGAATGAAAAATGGGGTGGAACTTCGAAAAGTTCTCAGAAGACTCCAAGCCCTGAATACGTGCCAATTGTTACAGAACAGTTAAGAACTGCATTCTTGTTTTAAAGATGCAGGAAAGTAAGGGTATTTTTTGTGGTTTATCCGGAAGGCTTTCTGGATCGTATTCACAAGTTTTAACTACTTAACGATATGTGAACAGTTTTCAACGAAATGTTTCTCGGTATGAAAAGGAAAAGGCGAAAGAGGAGTTTATTTCCGTTCTACACCTACGTGAAAGAACATGATCAGAACTCTCATAACAATTAAAGAATCTTTTTAAGAAAGCGACACTTCATTGCAGTGATGCATTTGATTTATTGGCATATCTTTTAGATCCTAGAAATAGCCACTATAAATGAGGTAGGTAATATAGGTACTCAAACTACAACAAAAAACGTACAAGCAGATTATTAAGGGCGGTTGCTGTTAATCGTTTGATTCGATGATATTCGACCAAATATGTTGAATAATCTGACACCACTCACAGAGAACAATAATTTCTTTATCATTCAGCTTTATTGCCCTGGTGATTTATTCACATCAGTTTAAAGAAGTTTTTCACCATCAAAAACATATAAGAGCTTTTATGGAATATGTTACAACCCGTAAAGTACATTTGGGCTTTGCTTAATGAACTGAACTTTACGTGAACGATTTCCTTAAGCTGTAACAGCGAATTTTTTAGATTTCTCTAGATAAGTCTTGGTAAACATGATAAAAGTGCGTAAACATGTATGTAGAAATGTATGTTTGTTTAGGTGCAATTGTGGAAACTCTAAATGCACAGTTGCTATCAAGTATGCACAAGAAATTAAAAACCAGATAATGAGTGAACAAAGTTACTAAAAATAACCAAATCAACTAACCGGATTAATTGTGATAAGGAATTGACGAGGACACTGAGAGGCGATTTCAAAATTGAAAGTTAAACTAGATATAACTAAATTAATATAAATACTCACGGTTCAGCTTCAATGCTCTTTAAAATAGCTACATAGTTGGAGGGAATGTAGCCTTCCTGTCGGGTCCGTTTGCTCCTGGCCAGCCACCAATCACCCTGAGTATCATTCAGAATTTCCAAGTGTTCGCCTTTGCGGAAACTTAAGTCCTCATCAGTTCTAGCATCATAATCGTAAAGGGCGATAAATGTTCTATCAGTTCGAGCAGTGATTGCCTGTTCAGGCTCCGGGCTCACTACCGCAGGCCTGGTAGTCTCAGTGGGCGGGGTGGGTTGTATGGGGTTTACGGGCTGATTATTTTCCTCCGTCACCACTGAGCGTTCCCGGTTTCTTTCCTGTCTGTCTGTAGTCGAAGGATTGCTGAAACAGTTCCCCATTTTCGATGTTTTTTCCACATTCAACTGTCACAACAAAGGAACATTTCAGGCGGTTATTTTGCGTCTGGGGACTTTTCAATCATGAGCACACGGAGTTTAGTCAACGCGAATGCGAATCCCGATTATTTAACGTGCATGTTTATTAACCGAAAATAGCAAACAGTTCAAGGAGTTATTCACTGGGAAACTACACTTTTTCACTCGTCTGGTTCGTTCACCAGTAACTTTCACTTGTTTTTCCTCGTTCCGTCAGTACACCGTCAGTAATTGATGTTTTTGCCAGTATGTTCACAAATTAACGTGATGACGTTCGTCAAGTCAAACGTTCTACATATTTTTAGTTACGCTAATTTGAGCCATTCTATTCAAAAATCTCAAATCAAGTCTGCAAAAGCACCTTTTTTATTTAATATAAATTGTAGTAGCAAATAAAAAAAAATCTGAAAATTCACACTATTTTTAAAATACAAAACAGCAATTTTCCAAAAAAATCTAGAACAGTCGATAAAGCATTTTAAACTTCTCCGAAAGACAAATTTACTTATTTTCTAAAATTTATGTTTTTTATAATTTTCTAATTTCTCCAAACTTGTTCCATGTCCATGATAATCCTACCGTCACAAATTTCGAACAAACTCCGACGACATATTTTGCAGCATCAAAGAACTGTCAAGGCTCACCAGCACTGAACAGAGAAGCCCTTTGCTGGTCACATCGAGTGCAAGCAGGATAGAGCCTGATCGTTTAGTTTCCTGCCGTTTACACCCCAGTTCAGTTTTGTTTTGACTGTTTTGATAATAATATGGCGGTGTTTATGGCGTCCGCCTATTTTCGTTTTTAATTAATTTCTGCAAAATTTGAGTGAAAATGTTCAGTGGGAAATTGTCTCGAGTGTTTCTACGTTGAATGTGCTCGAACCCAACGTAATAGAGTTGTCGCATCTATAGATATTTGAGCGGTGAGCGGTTTATGTTGAATAGTTTTTTTAGGTCAAAAGGGTTGTATTAGAGGGATGAAAAACTCATATTTCGTAGTAATGAATTGCTATTATATAACGTGTAAAGTAATGGGGTGTTGTTTTGCCATCGCAATACCAAAGCTCTCCTATTTACAGGGTGGTTTTGAAGCTGGCTCAGCTGTGGGATGCAGATTTGTGGGATTCTGTCAAAGGTTTGTGCCCCTTCATTAAGCAAAGTTAATCAACTTAATTAATACATATATCTTGCATGCTGAAATGGGAATACTAGTCTAGAGGTCGGATTTGAAGACCACAATCTTGCAATTTAAACAAAATTACCATAAGCCTTTTAAACAGCCTTATAGGGCTAAGAATTTTGTGGCCTCCAATTAGAGGAATTTTATAAACATTTTCTGACCTTTTACTGCTTAATTCTTCAACGTTCGCATCCTTCTTCCCTATAAAACGTACACACTGAATAAAAATTCAACCACTTCTTCGTGGTTATTTAAGGAAAAGTGGTGAGTTATTCCGGCTTCTAGGCCCTCCTTCGATTAATAACCCGAAAAAAATTGTTGTACACACAGTACAGTATTCTATTGTTGTGTTTTTCAATGAAAAATGAAATATCTATGTAGGAAAGAGGAAATGGATTGGAGCGGGGCAGTGCCTCAGTTCTAAGGGTGGATTGACATGCAGTCTGAGCCAAGACGGTATATCAATTCTGTATCGGATATATTGTACAGCCCCGACGAAATCGAGTTTCTGCTGGACGATATCAGAGACCTGGAGCCTACAAATTACAAGCCTGAAGACATTCAGGTACCAACTCCGCAAGAGGAACCCAATCAGCGCCTGATTTTCTACATTTAATGTGCACGAGTTTTGTTTGTAATATATTTTTATTTTGACTTGTTTTTGTTTTGCTTTATTATTTCACGTAGCTGTAGAGTGAAGGCACTTTAAAGTGGGAGTTTTCTATTCAGTTCATCCTTTGTAGCATGGAATGAGACCTATTTGCGCTTTGCTCCAGATGGTTTGCGAGATTTTTTAGTTTCCTGCGCTTTGATATATTTTGATCAGCTAATAAGTGTGCTAAATTGTAGTTTATTTATTTTGGAATAATTAGTTGATTTATTAAAAGCTTCAGAATTAGTTCACTAGGAGAATTTTTAGAGAAAAATGTTTTAAATCAACAACCCATTTTGATCCGACATATTTTTTTCGGCACATCTTGAATCTTCAGACCCATTAACTTATCATTTTTTAAGATGAATTTGAGAATATTGCAATTTTTTTGTATGTTTCACGACTTATTTCACAGCCTCGCTCAAAAACACGCTTTGTATGTTGGCCGTTAATGTTTGCAGGGAGCCTCGGATGGCATGCTGTGTGTGTTGCAGGATTTTGAGATAGCTGGAAGCCGAACGGGGGCCCTGAGCGCTGAGTGCGCCACTGGAGAAGGATGCGAGTGCGACTCGCCTCTCGGCACCGTCAACTCATGGGATTCCCACTCGCACTACCGCAGGATGGCCTCGCCCGACCTGTCTCTCTACTCGGGAGTGATCCTTTACTGCGACTATGCTCACCTGAAAACTCCTATCGGATTTCTGAGAGTATTGTTTTTGGTAAAACTCATTTTTTTGCTTGAGGACTAGTGAAAAATTGTGTTGGTTTACAGGTAACAACCATAACATGTCTGACATGTTTGTGCACGTCCGGGACTGTAAAAGTCGGCCTGTTTATGCTACCGCTTGTAGGACGAATTCGACTTATGATGTTCGTTACTCTTCTGAGCCTTTTCGTTACTTGCCTGTTGCTGTTTCTTGATATTTCTCACACAGTGTACTTATTTCCTTTTAATTGGGGCAAAGTGGTAAGTATTTTGGTATTTTATACTTTTCTATGCAGTTTAAGAAGCTAATTTTTAAACTTGATTCGATTATTATTTTTCAGAATGCATATTTATACGTAAGCCTTAGTGTACTGTTCCTGGTAGCATCGTCACTATTATTTCACATGGTTTTTCTATCAGAGGCCTTTGCATGGGTCCCGAAATGGACACTCACTCAGCTGCTAGTCACTGGGGTAAGACCATAATTTTTCACTTCCTTAACCAATTTACTTAGTAAGCATATCTTAAACATCAGCGAGTCAATATTTACTGCAATTTATTGCCCGATTTTCAGAGTCTGGGATACGTTTGTTGCATTGAGTCGATAATCATCAGCGTTATCCAACAATGTAAAGCTCGAGTTTATGAGCCAGTCGGCGAAGATCCGAGCCTAAACTTGCAAGAACAACATTTGTCGCCGGATGGCACTCCACAGCACAAAGTGGCCAATCAAACGACGCACAATTACAAGCCTATAGTGAATACACAAACTGTAATGACCACGACTGTAAAAACACTAACTTTGGAGATTGACGACGTGCAACCCTGCACGTCTAAAAGTTCAGATCCTTATAGAATGGTATGATAGATAGGTAAACTGGTCCTCAAACGAGCATTTAGTGAGATTATTTGTTCGTAATTAAGACTTTCACTGAGGTATTTTGCTGTTGCGGATATTCTCTGTTCTGACAAAGAAAACAGATGCTATCCGGAACCAGTATGTCCTGTTAGAGTAATGAATTGTAGACATTTAGTTAGATGTGAAATACAAATATAGTACAATATTTTTTATAATTTTTAGATAACGATAGCATTAGTTTTTGCAAAAACCGTTACTTAGCGTTTGATAATATATTTCCACGTCGTTCGAGTGTGTTTATAATCGTAGTATTTGCAGTAAAATTGAACTGTTTGATGGTAAACTCACTAAATTCAGCTTGTATCACTTCTAATTGGCACGAAACAATAACGGGATTTTTCTCAATTTCTTAGGCATCTTAGGCACCAAATCAACTCAATCAACAATTTTGAAAAATTCCTAAGCTCTGCTTTTCGTTCATGGAAATATTGTGCTTATTGTATCTATCGACGTTCGATATATTCTAGATTCTATAGAATTTTCTTCACTCGTTCAAAACAGCAACAATCGTGTAAATAGTGTATGATATTCTTTATATCCCAAGCGAAGTGCTCTCATAAAATATGTTTGGAAATTTACATTCCAGTTTTCAGATGTATTAGCAATTGTCAATTCGTTCGGTTTTATCGTGCAAAATCTCACAAAATCCACCATGAATAATTGTTTGGCAACAATCAAAGAACCGATCCTTGATAGCTGCTAATATAATCGGTTTTGATTCATATCGATCTTTATATATTAAAGTGTTAAATATATGTACGATGTCTTTAGGTGATTTGCCCACGATTTTGCAATGCTAAATAGACAAGACTGTACAGGGTCAATCATGAGCAGTGTAACACCAAATCACAATAAACTCACTATATTCATGTCTGTTACTTTGAAAGCCACAGCCAATATGTACATGATGTCCAAATTAGAAAAACCAAAATAAAAGAAATTGCTTTATGGTAGAACTTCCAATGTTCAAGTCAATAGCGCCATCAGTTGGACACCGTGTATATTTTCGCAATTTTTTACAAAACTGCCAAAACAGTCATCACAATCTGCAAGTAAATGTGTTTTACACCGGAAATAATTCCAGATATTTAGCAATTTTTGTAGTGTTAAAATTGACAAAGCAGAAATGTACCTGCTCAAATTCGCACACTGAAAACCAAGTTGTTTCCTGTGCGCTTTTACCTTACTCTGTTCTTACTGATTTTGTAGCCATCATAGCGTAATTTTTTAATAAAGTGATCTTGAGAAAAATGCATACTTTTTGTTGATTTTAATATATTAAAGTTTATCTTAACAAAAGCCTAGTTGAAGACAAGTACAAAATTCAATCAGTTTGCATTTTTTCAGTTACATCTTGGATCTCGAGCAGACGCGGTCCGTAGAGAAGAACATACGCACAATGCCAATCTCCTGCATAAAATTCAGTGTTTTGGAAAAAAACGAGCAAAAATATTAAAAGCTTACCTCCACCGGACAGTTTAAGAATTTCCTCTTCTGTTACAGGTGTAACGGTATCATCGTCACACTTAACCCATTTATTTCCGGCTATTCGAATCCATCCTACGTAATGACCACTTGAGGAAGAGCGCCCTTTATGCGTGAGCACCGCTTGTAAAGTGTAATATCCACTATTATTGCTGCCTACATCTGCAAAACCAGAACCAATTGTGCTAAAGAAATTAGAAATTTACGTTAAGAATTACCATCTTCAAACCAGTAGGGAGCATACCGCGTTTCCTCGCTTGTCTTGCCATCGCCTTTGCTCTTTTTTTCTTTGGCCGCTGGGTTTTCGACTAAGGCATCCTCCAACTCCTATATGTGAAGAAATTGTGACACTGAAAGATCCTTGAGTGGAGATAATTCACCTTAAATTTACTCCTGACAGGCGTTAACTTTTCCTGCAGTTCAGGGGTGCATAATTCATAAGCGTCATACTCTATTGGAAACTTTACGTCTCTTAGAACCTTCGCATTGATTGCACCTTTCTCTTTGTAAAAGAATCTTACAAATTGTATGGTTAAATAGGCAGGAAGTCGGCTGATTTTAGACTGAAAATCGAAACATTCTTTAACTGATTCAGGATTTAAATTACGAGCGGAACTTACTGTTTTTGTGTAAACCGCATCCCTGTCCAGTGAAAGAGATTTCTTTGTAATCTGCTCTTGCATTTTCTAAACAAAAAAATCAAGTCATTATTGAGAATGGCTTTTTTCAAGAACGCACTCACACTCTTTAATCCGGAATGCATATACCGCACTTCCATCGACATGAAACAGCTCAATTGCAAGAATTGCTCTTTGCTTTTGGTCACTGGTTCATCAGGGGCTTCATCGCATTTCAGTTCCACATCGAATGCCCCGCCAAAGTATTGATCAATCAAGGACCTAAAAAAGAAAAACAGATTTATACTAAACAAAATACCGTAAAAATAAAAATTAACTCACTTAAAGTTTTGTTGACTAGACGAAGTTTCAATTGATTTTAATGGTAATTTCTGTTGCAACATTCTCACCAGTTCTGTCCAGAACTCATTTGCATCCTAAGAAAGCAAGCAGTGAGACTGGAAAAAGGACTAGGGAATTGTAGTTGTACCTGCTGGGCAAACAGTCCCTGGTCATTTTTCTCGGAAAATCTGGGAAAAGCCATATGAAGCACTTGGAGTAGCACTATGGGAGGCACCGTACGACCCTTGTCCATCATCGTATATAAATCTTTAAGCGCTGCAGTGATAGATTGGGCAGGCATCAGTCCTCCAGGCACAGTAACAACTAAATCTCTCAAAGTAAAAATCTTTGTATTTTGGAAGTTTAATCATGTACCTTCTTGATAAGTTTGCAAGGCTTCTCTCAGCTCCGGGACAGTCTTTAGACACTGAACTGTGGCGTTCATGTAGCAGGTATTACCTAAATTATTAAGGCCCGCAGGCAAATCGAGCTGGAAAATTGAGAATTCAACACAAATTGCACTATAGTGATTGAATAACCGTAACTTACAACAGTTGCTAGTTCACTTTCGTTCATGTCTTCCACAAAAACGGTCTTCTCAACTGGTTCTTTGGGCACGTCTTCCTCTTTGCTGCCCATCAGTAGAACAGTAACATTCTAAAATATGTGATTTAGTTACATTTCCCTGAACATTTTTTCATTTTGCTCATTTCCTTGTACAATTTAGCATATCTTAGCCAGTACTCGAAATTTTAGTGCAGTAACGCCATAGAAAAAGCGGAAAATCGGTAATAGAAAACAATAGATTATGGGATGCGCCAAACGTTCTGCAACGTAGTTTTTAATGTATAAAAAGTGTATTTTCGAAACACCAAACAAAAACTATTTTTTAAATAGAGAACAAAGTCACAACAGTTGAGAGGTTGTATTATTTCATTTTTTTATTTTAAAAACACATGTTAATCTATTTGACTATTTGGTTTACTTAGTATTTTTATCTATTGTAAAATAATACTGAATCTTAACAATTCAGCCGTTCAACAATTTTTCCAATGGAATACGTTAAATATAAACTTAAAAATAGAATAAGTGGAGTAATTTTGCGCTAAATACAAAAAAAAACACAAAATATAATACACACAGTCGAATTACCTGGCGGAAAACATTCCTATCAATATTAATAAAGCACTCTAACATTTCCGCAGCACGCACGTGTAGACAGACAGATAAATAACAACCCACCAATGTTATTAGTATAAGAAAGAAGACAAGGAAACTGCATTAGAAAAATCCCAAAGTGAATGGTCTGTTTAAAACCCATTTTTCCGCGCAGGGTAAAACAGAGGCGCGTATTGTGGTTTTAAAATGCCAGATCATTTATCTAAATGCTAACAATATATTAAGTCCGGTGAAAAACAACATTTAATCATTAATTGAAAGTGAGGAATTTAATGCTTAATATATAAAATGAGTTGAGGCTTGATGTGTTATTTTCAGTTGGTCATGGCCATTGCCATTTCTGAAATATATAGTGCAGATAACAGAAACGTTTCGGGATTTAAACATGCGTTTCTGAAACGTTTTTGAAACAGTAAATTGTTCAGCTGGTAGTGTCATGTAGCCAAGTGTGACTTGGAAGTAAAGCAAGCGAACAAAGACAAAGGAAACCCTGGCTGTACTCCAAAGGTTTTCCAATAAAGATATACTTACATCTTTTAGCTTAAAGTTGCCCCACTCATCATCCTTCAAAGTGATGCCCTTAATCATTACCTTCTGCCTCTCTGGCAATACCCCGGTTAGGGTAAAAATTTGCCCTTTGAACAATTCTGGACGCTCGTCAGTGTTGACGTCCACCTGATAGGACTCCTTGCCCCATTTCACTTTAACTAAGAGCAGATAAACATTACTCAAAAGATTGGATAAAGGTTATATTTGAGAAACTTGCAACCAAACGTTAGGCTCACCTTTGTATTGGGGCATGGTGTTTTCTGACAGATACAGGCACAAAAGACAATGGATGAATTAGACTGCGAGTGTACGGTAGTCACTGTACAACGTATAATTTGCGAAAATCAACTACCTACTGCACGATACCTTGCAGGATTTTCAAAAGCAAAAGTGACAAGTCATATTTTGCGTGACATGAGCTGTCGGGCTTCAAAATTCGAACGTGAGCGGAAGCAAATGCAGCATATTTGCCAGATGTGTCTCGCTTTGATAGATTTTTGCCCTTTTAGCCAATACTTCATTAGCCTATAGTGCTAAACACTCCTTACGTTTTAAGACAATTTTAATCAAAATCTCGGAAAACACTTCATGGTCTTGGCAATTAACTGGAAACTTAATTTTAGTGAGAAGTTTGACAATGCAGGAGCCTCTCCTTACTGTCTCCATACTTTCCAGGAGTTTCAGATTGTTTTACCTATAACCTCTCTTTTCCAGTGTGGGAATGCGTCAAAGTTACCGTGACCACTTTAAAAACTAGAAAACCAGCAATTTCCGGCCTTGATTTGAATTTGTGAACGAAAAGGCACTAATTTACTGTTGCAATATTACGTGGTGACAATATGGGTACAATAGAAGGCAATGAAAATAATCCAGCAACTCTCAAACTAGTCCTGGCAGGCAAACTGGCAAAAACTCAATATGCAGTGAAAATTCGAGGGCATAATGGTAAATAAGCCCCCAAGTCTTTATCCAACTGCTTCTGGTTTATTGCCACTAGTGCTTGATGATGAGTTTCACTGTTGTTACCCTATTAAACATTGTTTTAGAGGAAGGTCAATATTTGCCATATTTAGCTCTTAGTTCGGAAGACAATATTTTTGTACCGAATGCAGCAATATGGTTCATTTTGCCACCGGCTGAAGAGCTTTCAGACAAAGTAAGGGAAGTGCTGGAGATGGAATCCACTGTCTTATCACCTTCTTTAGCCCTGCTTCTTGGAACCAACTTAAAGTCTGAAAAAGTAAAAAGTTCTGTATTATCAGCCTTGCAATCGCTCAATTCAACCTTAGAAGGAAGTCAGTTTCTTGTTCAAGTATGTATTCTTTGCATGAATTTAAATTGTAGTGCTCGTATCATGCTGCGACATGATGCAATCCTTGATTAGATTTACAATTTTTAAATAGCTTTCTTGCTAGCTATTAGCATTTAAATATGCTTGGCAGAAATGTTTTCAATGTTTATCATTGTTTTCCCAGCTGATTCAGTTATCAATGTAACACATTCTAATTAGGAATCTTTGGAGATACCAAGGAACGCAGTACTAGTAGCTGTAGTTTAATTATATTTTTGTGTATTTGATTTATTTGATCATTCATTTGGGTATGTTTTAGCCCAGTTGCCTTACTTTATAGCCATTTTCCTTAATTTGCAATCATTGGAACTTTTCAGGACGCAATAACCGTAGCAGATGTAGCAGTATTTTCCACGTTATTTCCAATTTTTAAAGCTGCGAAACTCCTTAAGGAATATCTAGGAAGCTTTCCTTCAATTAGCAAATATCTCAATCAGCTAGAACTACTACCTGAAGTCAAGGTGATTGCTTGGGATAATACAGAAAAAAATAGCACGAGGAGATTTTCTAGTTATATTTTTTTCTGGTCTGTCCTATTCCGAAAGATTGTCATTCTAGGACACGCTGTAGGACTAAATAAAAACGCTATTTCAGGATTCCGTCGCGATAGTTTTTCATCAAAAATGCAACATTGGCCCTGTTTCCTACCAAGTGCTGTTCCAAAGCTCGAAGTATTTGGTACCTCAGATCCAGTCTGACCCGAAAACGGTCAACAGACTGGATTCAGTTGAGAAAGAATCGTCAAAACATGAGGTGGAAACTGTTAGCAGTGAAGAGCTGGAAGCAGCAGAGAAGGCGTGGAAAAAATCTCCCGGCTCACTCCCTAAGCTGAAAACCCCAAATAAAGTCGTGTAAGTTTCCCGTGGCACTGATAATCAGTTTTCCATTTACAGACATCGATTACAGATTGCCAAAGACTGGCGAGAAGAACGTTTTTATAACTTCCGCTTTGCCCTACGTAAATAACGTACCCCATCTAGGAAATATCATTGGTTGCGTGTTGTCTGCCGACGTTTTTGCACGTTTTTCTCGCCTATGCAACAACAACACTTTGTATATTTGCGGCACTGATGAGTACGGAACTGCCACCGAAACCAAAGCCCTAGAGGAAGGCTTATCATGCCAGGCTATATGCGATAAATACTTCAAGATTCACCAGGAGATCTATCAGTGGTTCAATATCAGCTTTGATAGCTTTGGTCGGACGTCTACACCTTTGCAAACTGAGTGAGTATTCAGACGAAATCCAGCTGATTTGCTGAATTTACACAACACTGTGATTGATTGTAGGTTGGCCCAAGATCTTTTCTTGCAACTGAACCACAATGGATTCATGTCCACTCAGGCTGTAGATCAGCTACTTTGCGAGAAATGTAACCGCTACTTGGCCGACCGATTTGTTGAAGGCGGCTGTCCGAATGTGGGCTGCACTTATGAAGATGCTCGCGGCGATCAATGTGATGGTTGCGGCAAACTGGTCAATGCCATTGAGCTGAAGAATCCCAGGTGTAAAATATGTGGTAGCACGCCCAAAGTGAAGTCTTCTAGTCAATTCTTTATCGATTTGCCCAAACTGGAGCCTTTGCTGCTTCACTGGGTGAAAAACTCTAGCCCTGGTTGGTCGCATAATGCTGAGGTAATTGCAAAGGCCTGGCTGAAGGAGGGCTTGAAGCCCAGGTGTATTACCAGGGATCTTCATTGGGGCGTGCCTGTGCCTTTAGATGGGTTTCGCAATAAGGTAATGGGTTTTTTCGCAAGTAAGTTTTACTGAATTACAATTTTCTAGGTATTCTACGTCTGGTTTGATGCGCCAATTGGCTACATGTCAATCAGCAAAGCCTACACTAAGGAGTACGAAAAATGGTGGCGGCCTGCTAAGGACACGGAAGTGAAACTCTATCAATTTATGGCCAAAGACAATGTTCCCTTCCATGCCATTCTATTCCCTGCAATTTTACTTGGTGCTAACAGGGAATATGTTACGGTGTCTCATATTATGGCCACAGGTAGAATATGACAGCTTTGCCTCAGCATGTTCAGTAGTTAACGGCTGTTGCAGAGTACTTAAACTATGAAGAGGGGAAGTTCTCCAAATCGCGCGGAATTGGGGTGTTTGGTAATGACGCAAGAGATACAAAAATCCCGAGTGATGTTTGGAGGTTTTACCTCCTGTATGTTCGGCCGGAGGCCCAAGATGCGAGCTTCAGTTGGAATGACTTGGCCACCAAGAATAACTCTGAATTGCTTAATAACTTGGGCAATTTTATCAATAGGTTGGAACCTAATATTAAATTAAAAAAACACTGCATACGTTCCAGCTTCAAATGATGCACCTTTTATATTTAAAACCAATTCCAGGGCATTGATTTTCGTGAAAAACAACTTCAACAGCACTATCCCCAAATTGGAACTCACCAGCGAAGACTACACTCTCTTGGCGTTGTGCACTCGGGAGCTCAAAGGCTACATTGCGGCCTTAGACAAATGCAAGTTGAGAGACGGCATTCGACACATCTTGGCGATTTCCAGACACGGAAACCAGTACATGCAGCTGAACCAGCCGTGGGTAAAAATCAAACAAGGCGAAGAGGGAAAGTAAGCACAAATTAAAATTCTCGTCGATTTTTTTCACTGACTAATTGATTAGGTTGCGAGGCGGAACAGTTGTGGGAGTTTGTGCAAATCTATCCTGCCTTTTGGCTACCTTATTGCAGCCCTACTTGCCCGAAACCAGTGAGAAACTCAAAGCTCAATTGAACTGCGAATACTTTGTGCTGAATCCCGAGTAAGTACTTCAAAGAGCTTACTAACGACCCCATTTCTTATGCTACTTCGTTTATAGAAATATTGAAATAATCAATCTGTTGCCTACTGGACACTCAATTGGCGAGCCGCAGCCACTGTTTACGAAAATCGAACCTGAGGTGATCGAAGAGTACAAGAAAAAGTTCGCTGGTAGCCAAGAATCGAGAAAAACTCCGCCCAAAGAAATTGTGAAACCAGATTTGTGCAATGGGGATGCGGAAACTCTCGAGGAAGCGATTGCAAAACAGGTACTACTATGGAAAATTTCTTCTCGTTGAGAAGCGGTTTTACTGTTGAAAACCTTAGGGATTGGTTGTGAGAAAGCTGAAAGAGGGCGGGTTTGACAAAACGGTGTGGGCTCCGGAGGTCGCAAAGCTAGTGGCGCTTAAAGCCCGCCTGGCCGAACTAACAGGCGTTGCTCCGGACAAAAAAAGCTCTTCAAAGAAATCCAATGCTACAACGAATAATAATGTGCAAAAAGTAGCCAACAACATGCCGGCAAAATCAAAAAAGAAGCCGGTTAACAACAGGTGAGTCTTGATAATTGCTAAACTACACTCTTGTAAACATTGTACTTTGTCATTGCAGCAATTGATGGGACCAGCTTGAAAGTTCTTCTAAAAACATACAAAATCTCTTTGATCTATGTGTGGTTAATTTTAAAATACAGTATTTTATATGTTGACCATGTTAAAACCATTTTTTACGTACGTTTAGAAGAAGGGAATCGAACTAGTTCGACGGGATTTTCATTCTCTGTTCCATCGAATAAACTATACATTTTTGCGGCTAGTGAGTTTATACACAAAAAGTATCATTCAAAGTATTAGAAAACTGCTGGGATCAAGTTGGGACAACATCTATATGTTGTAATTTATTTATTTATTTAATTTATTTGCTTATTTTACAAAACAAATTCGGAAAATTTCGTCAGTATCACTTCGGCTTTGCACAATTGGTTGTGTATGTATTTATAGGTACGATATGCGCCCGTTGGTCTTTAAATAAAGAAATATCATTAAGTTCAGCTTCAGAGTTTGTGTTTTGAAGACATTAATTTGCACTCTTTTGTAGTTGAGCATTGTTTATTTGCTAATTGACTATATACATAAAAACTGTTCTTCGAAGGCAGGAGAAGTAAATGATAACATAATCCTTAAATCTATGCATACATGCTACATGCTAGCAACCTAATTTCAATGGTGAAGAGGAAGAAATTCGATTTTTTTCGTATAAAATTAGAGACGTTTTCTTCCATGTTCTTTTATAAAACTGTACATTTTTCAGCTTTCTAACAAAAAAAAGTGTAAGGTTTTGACCCAAGAAAATTTTGTTGCCATGACTTAAAATTTACAATCGCCTTGCTCATCGGTTTCCGAATACCCGAAGTAAAGACATCATCATTCGCTTTGTGTATGGGCAGAATTTGTACTTTTTCATGCACTGATACGGGAAAGAAATTGATTCTCCGTTATCTACAGCCTCCTTCAGTTGCCTGCTGGCCCAGGAGTCTTCTCCAGCTGCGGCCCTAAAAAATCGAGCTGCTGCAAAAACTCAGGAGTCGAAAATTGGTCTTTAAACCTTGTTAAATTCAAGATCATTTTCTCCTCAGTGATCAGGTCTGATTCCTTCGAAGCGGCCAATTGGCAGATAAAACTGCGGGCACAACTAGCCGGGTCTCTTTTAATGACTCTTTCCCAATCAATTGTCGGTTCGTGGATGTCATTGGTTGATCGCTTGAAAACTTTGATTTCTTGATCTGAAACGTGCGGTTACAATGGATGTCGAAAACCTGATTTTTCGGACTTACCGTTGAAAAGCTTGGCTCCATTTGCGTGATCGCCGCCGCCGCCACTCCCGAATCCATTTTGCATGATTGCGTTAAAGTCTTGAGCCAACGTATGCAGCATCCAGAGGCCTGCCAATCCCAATCCAGCTAGAATAACTGCTTTCATAAAACTGTAGGATTTTGCGACGCCGATGGCAGCACCGAATATTACCAGATGGATCCATCGACGCATCTGGGAAGAAAACATTTTTTATTCATTGCTAACTCTTATTCTATTATATCATTCAGGCTTTCCGCTCTCAGGTTATTGATGCTGGCGCATTCAGTTAATTTCCCATATCAATTAGAACGCTGATTTAACGATAGTATTATGTTAATCGGTGCACCAGCTTCCTGCATTCAAACTCACGCGAAGAAGAAAGTGCACTGCATAATTGCAGAAAAAAAATGTTTCATGCAAAACAGCTTCCATTGGGCGTTTGAAGAAAGTGAGAGTGAAATGGCTAGTTAATTGATGGTTGTTTTTGCTTAAAACTGCATGTGTGATTTAACAGATTTACATTTACTTATACCGGTTGTTTCCAATCTAATTTGGGGCTTGGAAACTCACGATCTGATGTTATAAACAATTTATTAGAAAAGCTGAATTTTGCGGCTTGATTGAATTAATGAGATTCCAAACTGCCCCAACTGCTATTTCTCTCGGTAATAATCCACTTTAACATTTTTAGGACTAAACCGACTGCATTACAATACGCTAATGTATTTGGACAGGTAATTAATAATTTACTTGTTCTAGTATTTATTGCAAAATATTTATGAATCGATATGCTGATAAACAAATGGGCAGATAAACGCCTATGATGCAACCGCATTTCCACAGGTATATTATTAGTGGCTGGACTGGCCTGCATGCGAAAAACGCGGTCTACTTATCCCAAAAAATCAAAAACGCGATTATTAATAATTTTACTAGCGTTTCACTTTTGCAACGCAACAGGAGTCGTATCATTCGAGTGCGATCTGGCCCAACAACTTTTGTCTTAAAAATTCAGTCGAGAGGTGCATTGACTTTTCCTATTGACTATAAACGACCGGAAATTTAGCTAAAATTATATCAGATCGTTTTATCGAAAGTAAATACATTTTTTAGAATAAATGCTGGTTTTTTTTAGTTGTTTTACAATGTTACTCAAATTTTGCAAGTGTGAGCTTCAATCTCTATAAAAGATACTTTCGAAGCCGATTCCTCACTGAATTCGGCGTTTTCAAGTATTTTACGAAAAGGAATTATGTGAAATTTATATTTGTAATAAGGTAATTTGGAAATAACGTACATTTTCAAAATTTATTATATTTTTTCATAATGTTATTTAACAGGGCAGCATTGTAAATATCTATATGAAGTCAAATTTTAATGTTTGCCACTTTTCAGCTCAACTTGCAGATTTTTACTACTTCTAGTAAAATTCTATTTGAAAATGCGATAGAAAGCTAAAAATGCCAATGAAAAATATAAACTTCAATGGTTTTCCGTCTTGTTGGAACAAGCTGTTAAGCGGGTTCAATTTATATATTTGTTATTTTTTGTATTGAAAAATGCAAGAACAGTGCTTCTACTGTTCTGATGATTTTAAAGTCAGGTTCAGTTTTAGCAGTTACTGTTTTTTGCATTTATCTAATAATAGCATTATATTAAATTAATATAAAAAAATATGAAAATGCGAATGAAAACGCGTTTCTTAAAAACTATTTTCTTCTTATAAATCCTCAAATACTCTTGATATACGATTTTCTTTTACAAAAAGATTCTCTTAAAATTAAATATAACTATAGAATTTTAGAATGAAAATATTTGTTCAAGTAAAACGCCTGAATAGAAATATGTTTCTGGTTTCTTTAGTTTTAATCATTTTAAACAACATTAATTTAATAAAAATACAATAGCCAATACAGGCCAGGACTTACACTTATCTGACGATCCACTAACACTTGTTGCGCAATTGAAATATTCAAACAGTAATACTCCGGTTACATTTTCGATCGATAAATCGACTTGGGCGTTTTTATAAGCTCGGTGCCCGGCTTTAGGAGATGGGAAAGCAGCGAAAGTCGTATTCTGTCCTTCGAGACGCGAAACGGGAATGTTTTGGCCAATAAACTGACCATTTCGGTTTAATTTTTATCACAAAATTTGCCCGCAATGTCTGTAAAACGAAGGTACTTGTTTAATAAAAAATTAACTCATTTTGCGTAAAATAATTTGATTTCTACGCAAACTTATAGGTTGTTGAAAAGTTTTATATAAAATACTAACAAAGTGAGTTAATAAGAAAATGTTTTCTGGGATTTATTTATTTTGTAGCTTCAGTGAATAATCTCTTAAGCAAATAGCGATTTTCTCGGATCTGGCCGGATCGATTTTGGGGCTGCTTGTTCAGGGTCTGGTTCTTCGATGAAACGGTACATTAGGAAAAGGGCTGCACATCCACATACGCTAACACATGCTCCTGCAGTTGACAGCGCCTAAAACGCCAATAAAAAATTAACACTTCTTTACACATTATCAAACAGATTGAAAACTTAATTTAAATTTTATTTATCACAAGATTTCTGCATTTTTGAGCAAGCAACAGCCTTTCAAACTGTCGGAGCTCTTATTGATTGAAGGAAGTAAGCATTTTTAAAACCTTGTTGAGTCCGGGCCACCGTTAACAAAAAAATAAAGATAATATGCGGCCCTGACTAAATTAAAATGTTGCATGTTTGCTTGAACGGGCGACTCATCCTCTACAAAAAAAGCCTTTTAACATTTTTCCGCTTCTGGCTCAGTTGCGCAAGTATTTGTATATATGTTTGTGAAATGCGATTTCCATGCTGTACTTGCGGGAGCTTTTAGTTCAAGTACTTTTAGATCTATTTGTTTTGCATACAATATTCCTGAATTTACAGCGTGTTAAAGTTTGGCTGAGAAGAACACAATTTATTAATTACATTTTGAATTGAGTTTTGTGGTCATAAGTCTTTATGCGTTTCCAGTAAAAGATTGCTGTAATCTTACCGCTGTTAAATGTTGAACATCAGTGACTTTGCAAATTTTTATGGAAATAATCGAAGTCAATATAGTCACTAATGATATGACCATGTTTACAGCAATATCCTGAAAAGACCACAGCAAGTGGATTATTTTTTATAATTTTATTGCATAGGTTCCTACCAAGTTGATCCAAAACCCTGGATCTTTGACGGTTTTTCCAAACGAAAACCATAGAAATAGCAGCAACTGAATGGCGAATCCCATGCAAGTGCTTCCCAGGTTGGAATACGAAATTCCCAAGTTGTCGCAGTTTTTATCCAGAACGGCCCAACCCGCTATACTCCCGATTTGGAGGCTCTAAATGAATCCGTTATCAATTTTTTTTATTAGAAGTTTCACTTTGGCTTACCAAACTGATCATTTTAATTATCCCGGTCTTAGTCGGCGGAAATTTACCCCGTTTTAATTTTTTTCTGATCACTTCGTCGTGCGTGTCATAAACTGGCGAAATGTTCGTTAAGAACATTTGCGATTTTCTTCGCATTATTGCTGCGTCAACCATTTTATTTAAATAGTTCCAGATCGATAAATCAGTCAACAGAAGAACGTAGATCGCACTGAATGAACTGCCGTGATGGATGGATTACTGTTTCGAAATAGACATAATCTTTAGATTACACAAAGGAATCTGATAGATCATTTCAGTAGTGAATGAGTGATTGGTATAGATTAACAGATTTTTTTTTTGAGTCTAGTATTGTGTGTTTGCTGAAGAAATAAAAATGCAAAATTTATGTTAGTTGCTCAATAGAGCAACTGAAGCACTAAATAGGATGAAGTCCTGAAAAATGGTTTTTAATTCTTGCCCATGAGGAATACCGTACTTTCATACGTAGGGACATTCAGAAGCGACTATTTTTTAAAAGTCTTTCATTGAAACCCCCACAATTTCCTAAAACGAGGCGAAGGAGTAGAAAGTGCTATTATTAGTAATAATATTGCATTTTTATTAGGAATGTAGGTACGTCACAATGGGTATAAAGATAAAAACATTACAATACATTTGACCACCAGTTACGTATCGTCGCTGGGGGCTTCACGGTCAAATAATAAGATTTCTTTGGTACGGTTCTCCTTTTTGTACTGCTTATGTTTCTCTTGCACTTCCTTGAAATGGGCCAGCAACTTTTGGAAGTCCACATCCGATGATTTCTTCCTTACGACCACCCTAAAACCACCATTTCCATCACTTCCATTGAATTAAGCCCACCAATCACTTACTTGTCGTCGAACTGCAAGTGAAGACTAGGTATGCAGCTTAGTCTAGTTTTAAGTATGACGAACGCCTCAGTTTGTGGCAACAACATCAGCAAGCCATACAACGCCCTAACTAAATGTTTATCACAAGGTACTTCAAGTAATTCTAATCGTAAATCTGAAAATAAATAGTTTCATGAATTTTCGAGTGTATTCTAAACAGCAGATCATTGCACCTACAGGCGAAAATTGGCGATTCGATTAGTTGGACTAGCTTGTCGATTTCCATTAGGAAATCCACTGTAACTTCAATACTGCCGCTATTTTAAACAATTCAGGAAATATTCATTGTAAGCCAATTTAAATAACTAGGTTTTATCATGATCGTTGTTAAAAGGATACAATAATTTGATGAGATCACACACATGACTGTAACTTTGCGTAAGCAAACACAGAGCAACAGTTGCGACTGGATTGTGGCACCAGGTTTCGTAGATTCGTAAAAACAGCTCTCTGTTTTTCTAAAAGCGAAAACTCATTTTTAACACATCTATGAAAACAACCGAAAAAAATACCTCGTTTGAAAGATCCTTTAGCCGATTCCGAAGCTCAAATAGCTCGGAAGACGTTAAAAGGATCATGTTTAAGTGGTCCACCATCAGACTTGCAAACTTCAGATTCGTTTCATTCAGCAAAATCATCGCCAGTGTTATGTAGATGTCTTCTGCATTAAGTAACAGGCACAGCTGTCTGAAAAATGACCCATCTTTAGCACGTGGTTTACTTTTGCTGGCTAATACTTGCCTAATAATAAAGGACCCACGTTCGTCCAGCAATCGTTTGTCGTTGCTGAACAGCAGCAATAAACTCACTATGAATTTATTGTAGTAAATATTCTTGCCTGCAAATCAAAGCGGGTTTGCAAAAAATAAATTCCCTTCTTGGTGCCTACCTTTAGTACCAGGACTTGGGGATGTTGGTGCGGAAATCACTTCAGCAATCACAATCAAACACTGCTGAACGACCTGATCAGCCTCATCTGATAGAGTCTTTTGTAAAGCAGGGAACAGGAGGTCTATGTAGTTGACCATCTGGAAAAAGAAGTAAATATATCTTTCTTCGTTGCAACGAGAGCGAGTTTCTTCGCTTAATCTAACTGTAGACGGTAAAAAAGTGCCTACCTTACTAGGAAGTTTGGTATATAAATGGTGGATCCATTGCAGTACTGCCACTTTAGTTTGAATGGAGTTGTGCAAAAGATACTGAATCAGAACATCTACAACAGATTGCAGATCAATTTCTTGAGGAATTCCGTCTTCAAAATCTGAAAAAATGTGGCATTAAAATCTCGAAAAATGTAACGTTGTTATTCGCACCCTTACCATTAGGTCTTACTTCAGCATGATCCTCATTGGTTGCATCGCTATTCTGAAGAGAAATCAGCTTCATTAACGTGAAATTGACCGCTGAGGCAGTTTCTTTGATGTCTGTCACTAAATTAAGGAAAATATCCATGAAAAAAACGCATACAAAACCGCTAAACTAATGGTTTGAATATTTTTTTATAGTTTTGATTAAATGTGCAGTGAAAAAGTAGAAAATATTGCTAGTCTCGTGCAAGCTGTTAATAAAGTGCGAAACGATAGTGAATTTTCCTGCTTCTGATAAGATAAGAAGGAAAATACATGGAAATCGGAAACAGTACTTAAATGACTTGAAGTTGATTACAAACAGAAAAGATTAAGCGAACGTCGCTCTAAAACCTTTGATATGAATTTGCGAGTTTGGTTTAATTGAAGCTCTTTAATCATAATTTGACAAGTTTCTTAAATTAATTTCAACAAAATTGCAGAATCCATTTAAATTTATTTCGTATTCACTCAAATTTTGTTTTGTTATTCTTCAATTTCTTTTAATCTAATAGAAACGCGCTTCGAGTGTAGCTACTACATTAGGTAGGAACAGAGAGCACACAAAAAATTCAATAATAAAAACTGAAATGAAATATTTAAAATTCCATAAGGCAGGTGACTAATGGCATAATTCCAAGTTAGTTAGTTAAAATGAAAATGAAGCAATAGAGTGAGTGTTTGAAAGGTGAGTGAAATTGTTAAAAGAAAGAATGGGTTAATAGATCAAAGTTACATAGCGGAACAAAGAAGGATACTTCTCCGTGCATCCGTTTCATAGGCCAGACAGGGCAGAATCGCTGTGAATATTCCAGAGATGTAGGGCAACATAGGACGTCCGGACAGCTGGACGAATTCTTTAATCCATGTAATCGCCGTAAACTGTAAAAAATACATCTGTCAATTCATTCCGAACAGCAGCGCAAAAACGTATTTTTCTCAAGAGCAAAAACATGCTTACTTGCACCAATTCATCACTTTTCTCCTGGGCGTGATTAATCAGAATATTAATCATTGCCCCGAAGTTGACCCTGGAAGGCTCACTCTTGATATTGCGCAAAAACTCCCCCAAAGTAGTTTCGCACATTTTCTTCACTTCCAAGTTGGTGTCCTCTAGTATCCTAAACAAACCATCCAGGATTTCTGGCAAATAGTTTATCAGATCCAATTGGGGCTCGCTATTTAATACCGAAATCCACGAGATAATAAATTGTCTGGAAAATGGGCTTCTGGTGTATATTCGCTCCCTTAACAACGATACAAAAGCATCCAGATCAAATGAAGTGCTTTCTGTAACAATATCCTGAAACATTTCTAGGTACTCTTTAAGTTACTTCAGGTAGAATCGGAGCATACTTTTAATAGTCTGTCGAGTAACTCAGAAGCACTCTTGGTATTCTGATCTGAGTCAGTAGCTACTTTGCTTAGAGCGTTAAATATTGGAGAAAAATGGGGCAAAACAGCGCTTCTCGCCACTTTCACAACATTGTACATGGATTCACAAGCATAATATCGAACTCTCAAATCTTGGTCAGAAAAACAGCCCAGTATGGGTTTTATCAAATCCTCCGTATACCCATCAGTTTCCTGTAAATTTATTTTAAAATTAATTAAACGAAATCTATCGCTCACAGTGCATACTTTGCCCAAAGCCAAAGCGATCGCAGCCAACCCAATTAGTCCCCCTTTTCTCGCATGGGGGTTTTGCGATAAAGCAAAATCATGTCCCAGTATTTTCAATATGCGCTTTATCTGCCCGGTGTTATTTACGGCCGCAAATTCCTTTACCATCCTAATAAACAGCTTTCAAATTATATTAAACAATCAGCTTTAGTTTACCTACTTTTCGATTTCCAAAGCAGCAGTTTTCCTTTTCTCGTAAAATTTATCATTAAGAGCTCGAACACAAGCAGCGCTAAGGGGGGCATAGTCCTTATCTGACATTGGGTGTTATTTAAAACTTATATTATAAAAAACTATGAATTATAAAAATACACAAACTTGACAAGAGTTTAACCTTAAATTTGCTAGTCAACGTCATGATTGATCCGTGCTGTTTTACGAGTGACGCACTGAAGCTAAAGAAATTTGTAGGGTTCTACTCGCTAAATTTAATCAGATTTTTTTGAACAATTAATGTTATTAACTAACTTACTTATAAGGCCTGGGAATAAAGGATGCAAAATCTGGTTTTCTATTTGCAAAAATATGTAAGTAACATGCATTAATTTTTCTTATTAAATTTTTATTTGCCAACTCAATAGACACTGATCTAGCAACTGATTAATTTTTAATTTTTTCTGCAACCACTTTCGATCAAGACGGAAAATTTCATACAAATTTCCACATTCCACATCACATTTTGAGATTTTTCTCAAATCCATTATGTTTATCCCAAAATACTCGTGACAAAAAATTCAAATTCAATAGCCGGTTTTAACAAGACCCTGGTTTTCAAACTGAAAAAAAAACATAATTTTCTTAAAAACGATGGAGCTCACACATGCCTTAAAGGACAGTTTTGTCGAAAAATTGCGATAACTCCTTAGTATTTATTCAATGTAACATCCAAACAAGTTGCTCACTGTCCCTTATGCAAAAAAAATCACGTCGCTTCCATTAAACAGATTTATTAATAAATACATGAATTCTCTTAACGTTAATAACACACAAACGGATTCTATGCTTTGCACGAAAAAGCGGTAAAATAAAATAAACATTGCATTGAATGCCCATAAAATATAAAAAAATAAAAAATATTCGCTTATGTACGGTATTAAATATGTCTATAAGGTTTCACTAATAAGTATATCACAATAAGTACAAAAACGAATTTTTTTCTTTATCACTACCAGTACCATTTCTTGGACTGATTAATGTTAGGAAATTGCAAAATGAACATGAATTAACGATGTAAAATGCGCCAGAAGATTTAAATACAACGTAAACCTGTTTCTAAATTAAATTATTTGGGTGGAATGACAACAAAACATAGTTTTCCTTTCAAAATTCCCTTAATGTACCTATTATTATTTGGTTTAAAGCCGCCCCCAAAAAAGAAATATTTGACTTATTATCACTTGCCGAAATTTGTTTTAATTTGGCGTTGAGTAGAAAACACGTAACAGTATAAATGCAAATAAGCCATTGCATAATGCACCAGAAGTCGATGATTTTTGAAAAAAATTGTTCCGCGTTCTCAATAAAAACCATCATTTGGCCTCTAGTTCCAAAGATACGGCGATACGTTTCAAATAATGAGACAATTGCTGCGACAACAAATAATACTTTGAAGATGTAAAAATGCTTTGAAATATTCAAATAAAATAAATACTGTAACGGCTTTTGACCGCTTTTTTGGATCTAGATGGACAAACAACTCTTCATGGCTTCTGAATGCTTTCGTTTGTTACTTCTAAACCAAACACTTCTTGCACAACAGCAAGAAACCGTCGCAATACAAAATACCACCAGGAAAGAAACAGTCACTAATTCAATATTTAAAACTGGTGCCTTTGACTCATTTCCACGTTAAGACAAAACATTTCCAGTTTAAAATCGACAGTAAAACGCATTCCCCAGTGCGCATCCCCTTAAAGGCAAAATGTATAAATTAGACCAAAAAATAAATAAAGTTTCCTCCAAAATTCAACGGAAAGGCGTCCATTAACTTCGGTCAAAACAGATCATGTAAACGATTTAAAATCCGAACGAAAAACACAAAGCATCAACTTTTACGCATCCAAAACAGCTTTTATTTCGCCTAGTATTATCTCTAATCTTCACATGTTCTACTTGGATCTAGTTGGAAAACGGGCGAGCGGTACTGCAGACCGCAAACCACATTTGTGCATTTCACAGAGAATGTTTAGGGGCGATTTAAACGCCAAGGCCTGATCTGGTTTTCATTATTTTGTCGTCGTAGTGTAAAGCCAGGCTGCCCACTAAGGCTACTAGTGTGCGATCCAGCCATGTTACTGGGTTGGGGTAAATAAGACCTCCTTCATAAAAGCCCAAATGCCCTCCATGGGCCACTTCAACATAGAGCGTGTTAGGCGATTCAGCTAGAAAACATATTATACTTACATTAGCCTTACATGAAATTCAGTACAAAAATAAAAAAAAACACTCGCACTGCACTCGCAAGCATTCCAAGAACGTTTTCAATCCTGTTAGTTTTGGGTTCGGTGTCGCAATCCAAAATTCCCATTTTTTCGAACAGAAAAATTGTCCAATTTTTTAGCGCAAACACGTTTTTTCGGGTATATTTGTACTTACTGGCTTTTTTCCGGATTGGCTCCAGCAAAGGTTCTGGCACTATGGGATCATCTTTCGCATTGACGAAAATAATGGGCTTTTCAATGTTGTGCAGGTAGTTGATGCTTGAACTCCAACTGCGCCAAAAAATATACATCAGTTGCAGTTTTCAATTTGCTTGAAACTTCTGAGTCAAATGAAAACGCAATTTCCACATCGATTTCGGTATAGCAAACATAATCAGATTGAAGTTTTCACGTGCAGAAAGAGTGAAAATAAGTTGCATAAACTCATCAGCGTGTTGTACGTTCAAAAATAAAGATCGCTATCAAAATGCAGTTAATATTGAACTTWTTTTTTTCTTTTTCTATTACTTCTAACTATTAGARATACACAACTGTAATAATGTATGTAAATAATTTACGTAAACAAACAACACAATGACATGGTTTTATAAATGGAGACTAACGCCAAACGCGACAAAMAAATMAACTTCTGCTCACGAGCCACAGACTCAACGCTGMCTCCCCCACAATAACTGTAGACGGAAAAATAACACAACCGAAAAACGACGTAAGGTACCTTGGGATTACAATCGACCACAAACTGAAATTCACTAAACACATACGAAACATCAGAACAGAAATGATAAAAAGAACAAAACACTTTCGATCACTAACATACAAGGACAAAYGAATTAGTACAAATATCGCGACAAAAATATACAAAGCGATCTGCAGACCCCTCTTGGACTACGGACATATACTCATGGCCAACGGAACAGAAATGACAAAACGATACGTACAAACAACAGAACAAATTGCACTAAGACTAATAACACGAATAAGACACCCCCAAAACCCACTGCACAACCTTTCCAACCAACTACTATACGAACGCACAAACATGACAAAAATTTCGAAAAGACTAATACACTTACATACAAAATGGACAAACAACCCCCACAACTGGACCATACTGAATCCCCTTTGCCTCACAAGACCGACAAAACACTCCCGTTTTCGTTCCCCAACGGATACTTTACTAGAACACCTACAAACGCAACTGAATTAAGGACTAAGATCTGTTTGTTTTGTAAGCAAATAATTTTTATTTTTTTTATAGCTGATTAATTTATACGAGTATCAACACACTTTTTCCTTCACGCGGTTTTTGCCAAGCTGAGCAATCATTACGGTGCATTTCCGGTCATATTTCAATAACCACTTCAGTTACAGCGCTGGTTTTTCTACTACTGAATAGAGAATGAAAACTCATTCAAGAAGTGAAAGTAGAATTTGAAAATGTTGGCAGTTTTCACATGAAGAGAGACATTTCAACTCATCTTTAGATTCAAGCATCGTTAGCAAAATTTGACAACCACATGGTGTTTGAACCTTTTTGAGTCATCTTTTTGCTCATATCTCAGAAACAAATAGAATTAGTGTGCTGATTTCTCCACCACTGGGTAGAGCATTAAATAACACAAATACCAAGTGAAGCATCACTAGAAAAATGTACGCAATTTTCCTTTTCAGTTTTACGCGAATTTAAACATAAAATCAACATAACATTACACAAAGAAAATGTTAATGATGCTGTAGAAATGTGCCAAACATCCACATTCTAACAAATCGGCTAGCCTATCACTTCTTAAACTCGTTTTATGTTTTTTCTCAAAATTTACGTTCTATAATGTTCATGATTCACAACCCAGAAATTCCAAACAGTTTGAAATCCACCCGAAACTTACTGATACAATTCCGTAATAGAACCAAATCCATGCACCTTCCTCGTATAGGCCTCGTCTAGTTCGGGTAATGTGGCAGCCGAAATGATCTCATTCTCCACCAGTTTGAATCGCTGTTTCGATTCCTCGCTCAACAGTACTTTGCTGTGTCGCAATATGATGTTTTTCAAATTTTCAGTCATCACATACAGGTAAAATCGGCGGAAGTCTTGCCAGTTCAACAGCCACTTGGTGGCCCTTTGAAACACCAATTCGCTCTAATTACTTGCTTAAAAACCTATTAAAATCTGCCCGGAATGTGATAAGATTGGGAGCTTGTGAATAATTGTTTAACATACCTTGAACATGTAGTAGTTTATGTATGTCTTTAATAAAGCTAACAAAAAATACTTACTCGATGGCGTTGTAACCTTGACATATCGATATACCTCCTATAATGTTAGGATGCTTTACTCGGTCGCTTTCGCCTAAGTACTTAGTTACGAGATTTCCACCCAGGCTAAAACCTACGCATACCAGCTTGGTATTTGGATGTCTGTTGATCAAGTTTAGCAGCATTGCGTGAAAATCATCAGTGTTTCCTGGAAATACAAATAAAAAAATTCGTTTGTAGTTTGCACAGGTGACTCATTCCTGGAATCCTTGAATATTCCATTAAAATAAGCGAAAACCGCTAACATTATCTGCGATGAGTTCCTATTAATTGGCTGATCATTATCGTCCAATTATTTCCAAGGATTATGATTAATCTACATTTTCTCATCTGACTGAACACGGGTTGGAATCGTACCAGTGCTCAAGCAAACTGCTTTTTTTGCAGTTAATTATACATAAAAGACGTACCATAACTGAAAATTCGAGGTGCTGTTACTGGAACCTTAGGCAAAGCTCCAACATGATTCAGTACCGCACATCTGTAACCGTGGTATTGAGCCCAATGGACGAAGGTTCGAATGTAGACTGATTCCGAGGTGTTGCAAATACCAGGGCAAATTGCTATGGATATATCGTCTGAAAATTAAATGAAAAAATGGACATGCAAAAAATTCCTTGATGCGATTAATACATTTTTTATGAAGCTGCTTGAAAGTTTTTGAAAACGCGCCGAAGATTTTATGTGATTAATTCCGATCACGTCCTCCTGAGCCAAATTTCTCAATTGAAAACAACACAGGTCGTTCACCAGATTTTAGGTTTGTTTGATTTTCAAACGCGATGATTTCTACACACATGGAAGTCATCCACATTAATTTTTCGGCAGTTTCCTTTGTTAATAAATACGACAGTTTAATTAGAAAAATAGAAAGCAAATTCAGTTGATTAATTGGATCTGTTTAAGATGCGTGATACTTTCACTGCTATGTTAAACTTTGATCTATTCGTTTATATTTGTGCACATTTGTTGATGCTAAGTTGTTCTCAATAATGTTTGGAAGCCAGATTAATTACGAATGACGCAGCTACTTGGAAATTGATTAAAGCTCAATTAAATCAACATTGATCGATTTGTAAATGCACAAGCCACTATGAACTGTAACGGTTCAATTCACGTAAATTTGTGATTAACATTATCAATGATGTATGTTTATAAATGGCATGTTTTGAAAAGCTATTCAAAGGACTAAGATTGAAAAAAACTGAGTGTTTGGAAAATCTGGCATTTGTTCCGGTCCATATGAAAAACAAAAGTTGATGATGATTGTAGAGCTTGAAAAGGTGCCATGCTAAAGTATTTTTTGTTATTCGATATGATTCGAAATAACTTCAAAAATCAGAAAAAACGAAAATCCGAAAAATCACTTTTCTAAATAATTCAAAATTTAAAAGAAATTCGCCATGAAAAACGCCATGTATATGGCCCCCTGATTGGGCAACTTTTTCCTCATTTAACCGACTTCGTATCTCTTACGGTTTCGGAGATCCCCATGCAATGCAATGTACCTTACGACTGAAAAAATTTATATCTGCCGATTGCATTTTAGGTTTTGTAGCAAGCAGAACTTTTTAAGAAGAATAACTTTTATTAGTGAAATTAATAATAAAAAAGTTCCCTGTGTTCAAATATTCGCATTTAAACGTACTAATTGATCAGTCCGAGCGCATTTCGATTGCAATCGTTAAACATATTGGCTCTTCAATTGTGATCGCACTCTATAACATAAAGCGATAATATTTTTAAACGAGAAATAAACAAAACATCAGGCCACTTTTAATCTATATACAACTTGGATATTATCAATGAAATGGGAGCAAACTAGTAGCGAGTAAAATCATTATGTTAAACTCGCCTTGTACTAATCTAGCTAAGTACAAATTAGCAATCAATATCGGATCCATCATCATAGCCTTAACTAAAAGAATTTCGGTTAAATATTGAAAATTGAATTGCACGAATGAAATGAAAACCGCAGAATCAATCAATTTGCACAAATTATAAACGAGCGAAATTTAATAGGAAAAGTTAATTAGTATTTTTTGCTTGAATTTAAATGAACATATGTTAATTTCATCCCGAAATTAGCATAAAAAACGCGAAAGTAAAACCTGATTAATTCAAAACCCCGTCATCTCTTGCGGCTACTCACAAAATATAGACAAAATCCTGAATAAACGACATACAAAAACTTTCTATTGAATAAAATGCTCCGCTCACCAGGAAAATTGGTGTCTAAAGGTTGGTACATATCATAGGTCAAAGTGGTACCATCGGAAAGAGTGAGGAAGATTCGTTCGCCCATCGGCCAGGGGCACTTTACACGACCGATAACACTGTGGATTATTGTCTGCACGTGACCACTAAAGCCCCATAATCGAGTTGGAATGTACCTGAAATAAACAAATCATTTATTTGCATTTCTTCAATGAACAACAAAAATTCCTGCATTCCAGTTGATTAATTATTGAAAGTGGATTTTCAAAAAATTGCTAAAAGAACGCAAAAAACTATGTAAATTTGGGGAAAGCATATGTTGATACACAATAGGTTTTTCAATAAATGCGCATTTTGCGGAAACAATGAGTTTCAATGGATAGGTATGCATAATTTTCTAACCGGATTAGTTCTTTATTGCTTCAATAGACAATATTAAACAGTTCACATATATAATCTTTAAGGTAGATATCGATATCCTGCATTTTCTTTATTTTACATGTTTATAAGTGCAGACTTCGAGATGCATTAATCTCAGGCACCCCAAGGGCAGGTTTCGAGCCTGTACTTTAACTGAAAATAACACTCCCGAAACCTGTACTTTATTTTGTCCAGTATTATGTACAGACTAAACCCAGCTGATTAAAGTTAATAGACTCGCAAGGTTTAAAATGTATCACAACATTTTTCAAATAACTAATCAAGCTGAGAACCATCCTACTATGAGTGGCTTTCTACTTTGTAATAATTGAGGTGCGCCTGGAAAATTACTTAGCCCACACGCTGCATAACTATATATGTATTGTTTAATATGGTATTATGATAACAATATTCTGATGTCATCTATTTGGGATATCTTGGAGCTACATAAGGTACTTAAACGTGCATTGGAAAATGACAATGCTGTAATTTTCATTTATCTGAGACGAAGGTAGGTAATTCTCAAACGTGTTGATCATGCATTTCTGACTTAGTAGTCATCAATTTCTAAGGCTCAAGAAATGGGAAAGTTGCAGCAGAAAGTTCAACATTCCTGATCATTCATTCGTATCAGTTCGTAGACGCCCTTCGTGTGTTTCCCCAAAATGTTTTTTTAAGGGTTTTTTTAATCAAATTTTCCCGTTGAGTGCTGATTTAAGTGCAACATAAGTACTAGTGCGCTTCCTCATATCTACTCATTCCACTTCTCACTTAAGTGGGTGGTTAATTTGAGTTAGTAACTAGAACTCAAGGTTTCAGCACGGGTTTACTGTAGATGTTTAGGAAATATTCTAGATATAGAAGGGCAATTTGCGATGTTGGCTGGGGGCCAAAAAACTGTCAGTTGTTACCGATAACGCAATTGAACCAGATTGAGACTAATTTAGATTCAAGTATGTTGCCCAAGGAACATTTGCTGACAATTGCCATGGACCAGCAAAGCACCCCAAAGCCTCCTTATTCCACATACTTAGGGATTATGCACAACTAATTCATCATTATTTCATAGACCCCAAAGTGTTGACACGAATAAGTCACGGGGGGGTTGCCATACAAATTCCAAAACTGCTGACTTACGGTTCATTTAAAAGAGGTGAAATCTTCAAAACATTGTCCAGGAACTTGTTGTCTCCACACCAAATGGTCGGTTTTTGGGGTTGCGAGTTCACGTTCAGTATCCGGAACAAAATACATAAAATCACAGCCACTACAGCCAACAGGGCTGTAGACATTGTGGATCAACGACACGGATTTGCTCAGATGCGATCAGATGGCAAGCGGTTGCGAAAAAGCAGTGGCAAATTTCACCGGATCCACAGCCTCGTTCCGTCAGTTTTGCCAGTAAATACTAAACATTATAATCGCAAACAATCGCAAGATAAATAGATTTTGATTGTACGACGGGCGCGGTGACTGACAGATGATGACAAACATGTTGCACGCGCAGTTGTCTATTGTTTTATTTTTTCCTATGTCCATATTGGGAATGTCATTCGCCTTGGAAAAGTGAAAGTAATTAAAGTCCTCCGCCATTTTGTCCAGGTACGTAGATTACAATGTTAGTTATAATATAATAATATGTTGAAATATACAGAGTGGCGACACAAAATCGAGGGCCTCCATAGAGAATAGCTGTTCAACCGAGAAAGTCTTCTTAACTTGATTTATTTTTGAATAGCAATTCGCAAGGTTTTTAGTGCCTGTAGACCTTTTAATAAAAGAACCCCCACCCGCACATCATCCACATTTACAGACCGTAATTCTAGAAAATCAGAGAAATAATCCCGAATTCTAGTAGACGTTAAAGACGCACCAGCGCTCTCGAAAGTTCCAGCTTACAGTTCGTTTTCAACTCCTTATGTTCAAAGTTACAATTGTGCCTACATTTCGAGAGCGAAGGTGTTCTACTAAGACACTTTTAACTAACTCAAGCAAACCCAAACTTTTTGATCTAAAACCCAATTTGAACTACGCCAGGTTTGAAATGTTTTCCACTTATAGGACGGATTTGGCCCTCTAAAATGCATTTCGAAATGAATCCTTACCTTCAGGGGATTCTGAGAAAATAAATTCGATACTTAGGCCTGCATAAATAACTACAAAATTATATAGCAATTGAAAAAGTTGTTGTGACTAGCCTGAAGATAACTCATAATAACTTTTATATATAATATAAAGATAACTTTCGCCGCTTTCAAAACACACTCTGCCCAATAAGATCCATACAACAAGAACTCTCTAATTTAATTGGGTTCTGAAAAAATTGCTTTTAAAATTTCAGCCTGCATTGAAAAGCGCATATGAAAAATGATGAAAAATTTCTGAGGATCATTTAAAATCGAAACGTTTGCCTATCAAAGAGCAGACTTTGTCCCTACAAATGTGTTGCAAAAGTGACCACAGAACATAACCATAGGGGGGATATTTTGTTAAAGTGACTCGTTGCGCTAACTTTACGAGTTCTTCAGCAAATTAATGTCAAACTTTGATGCGCTCAAATATCCGCGAAACTCAGATGCAACAAAAATCATAGAAAACTTCCCGATGATGGCTGTAAATCAAAACTTCTACAACTTATGAAATAGATGATGCTCAACCAAACCAATTAAAAATTCACTCTCTAACTTATCTGAGTTCCTGAGCAATAACTGTTAAACTGTGGCCTGCATGAACCAGCGCAAAGTAGAAATATATTTTTTTAAATTCCTAAAAATTCCCTGAGGATGAGTGAAAATGGAAATGTGTTTCGCTTATAGAGAAGGCATGACCCTACAAACCTTATGCAAAAGTGACTCGCTAACTTTACGAGTTCCTGAGTAAATTAATGTCAAACTTTGAAGAGCTCAAATATCCGCGAAAATCAGATGCAACTTTGAAAAATTCTAGAAAATTGCCTGATGATGGCTGCAATTTAAAACTTGTACCACTTATAAAACAGATTATATACAATAGAACCTACATAAAAGTCACTCTCTAATTTTTCTGGTTTATTAGAAAATAATTGTTAAACACGGCCGCTGCAGAAACAAGCGCAAAGTAGAAACAAGATTTTAAAAAATTCTCAAAAATTATAACCTGAGGATGAAAGAAAATTGAAATGCTTTTCGCCTATGGGGCAGACATTTTCCCTAGAAATGTGATGCAAAAGTGACTTTATGTGCTTAAATATCCGCAAAAATCAGACGCAACTTTGAAAAATTGTAGAAAATTGCTTGGCTGCAAATCAAAACTCCTACCGCTTTAAAACGGCTGATGCCTAACAAAGCCTATAGAAAAGCCACTTTCTAACTTATCTGAGTTCCGAATCAATAACTGTTAAATTCTAGACTTCATGAATAAGTGCAAAATACAAACAAAACTAAAAAAAAAAAAATGCTGAAAAATTCGTGAGGATGAGTGAAAATCGAAATGCTTTTCGCTTGTAGAGAAGGCTCGGCCCTACAAATCCGATGCAAAAGTGACTTGCTAACTTTACGCGTTCTTGATAAATTTAATGGCAAACTTTGACGTGCTTAAATATCCGCGAAACTCAGATGCAACAAAAATCATGGAAAATTTCCCCAACTTCTCCCATTTATAAAACACACTATGCCCAAGGAAATGCATATTTTTAGCTTGTCTTGCATTCAATCTTTAGCTTGTCTGATTTCGAAATAAATACCTAATTAAACTATGGTCTGGATGAAAAAGCGTAAAATACCAATACAATTTAAAAAAAWTCCCRAAAATTTCCTGAGGRTAGATCAAAATCAAAATCTTTTCCACTTAGAGAGCAGACTTTGCCCTACAAATGTGATGCAAAAGTGACTTACTAAACTTACGAGTTCGTGAGAAAATTAATGACGAACTTTGATGTGCTTTAATATCCGCGAAATTCAGATGCAAATTTGAAAAATTCTAGAAAATTGCCTGGTGATGGCTGCAAATTAAAATTTGTACCACTTATAAAACAGGTTATATTAAACAAAACTTATATAAAACTCATTCTCAAATTTTTCTGGTTCCTAAAAAATAACTGTTAAATACTGACCTGTATAAACAAGCGTAAAGTGCAAACAAAATTTAAAAAAATTCCTGAAAAGTTCCTGAGGAGTATTAAAAATCGGAACGTTTTCCACCTACAAGGCATACTTTATATTACAAAAAAACGTGCATAATTTGACGAGTTCTATGCAAAAAGCAGATATAAAAAACAACAAAACATTTACAATTTTTCGATTTCAAATGCAAGTTTTCAGGGCTCGAGCGGCTCACTCAACTTGAAATAACAAACCTAGTCGTGTTTAAACTACGCGATATTTAAAACAAATCTATATTCTAAAATACGTGCAGTTCAAATAAATATAATTTGTATATATGTATATTAAACTCTCAACAATTCTTTACAATATTCATGATAATAAATAGGTTCCGCTGTTGGAGAGCAAACATAAATATTGATGAGCAATTTTACAAAACATATAATAAGTTTAAAGCTGTTTGGAATTTAAATTTATTCGATTTAGAATTTCATATGAAAGATGCAAATGAAGGCGAATTTTGTTTTTAGTAGACAAACTTTGATATGTGAGTATATCTGCTTTAATTTATTCGGTTTATGTATCGCCTGAATTAATGCGGAAAAATGTGTGTAAGCTTCCAGTTATAACCGTTTAATTAAACAGGGGGGAATTATTTCTCTAACACAAACCCGTTCCAACCCCTCAAACTATAGACTAAAACAGTAGTCAAGAAAATACAGCAACTAATCTACTGAATAAATTACGCGCATAAGATTCTTACTTAATATGCTGAAGACATTTTCGAGTTATGAAGTATTCCTGGGAGAAAACCTCGTAAATTTTAGTTTACGATGGAATTAGAACTATCTTAACCCTTCCATTCCCCTGTGGAATGTTCAAAAACGAATTTGGAACTTAAAACCGCTCTACGCTAAGTTTCGCAATGCCTCATGTTTTGAATGGGAAATCGCAAGTTTTTCAAACATTTTAACGTTATGAATGCTTTTCAGCATTGAATTTAAATAAGTAAAAGCTTGTTTGCTCATTCATTGATTTTGTGGATATTTTGGGGTTTGCAAGAGAAGGCAAAAAGCACCAAAAAAGTATATTGTTCTTACTTACCTTTTTTGGAAATGTTGTATTGTTACTTTAACACAATTGGAACACTTAACATTTGCATTAGCATAAATCTTTCTATATGCCAGCCACTATAGTTGATCTCTTGCAAAAAACGACTCCAATGGCCAATAGGTTTTGAGCCGGCATAACTTTTACAGCAATAATTTTCTTGCATCGACTTTAATAGTCGCTTTTGTATGTTAGTTTCTATTTCAACCTGCCAAGTTTTGCTTTACGGGGTGTTTCAAAAATTTTACATTCAACAATTTTTAAAACTGCTGCAGGTTGCCGACTCATGAGTGTTGTATAATGGGTTTATTAATTAAAAGAAAATTACGCAAATCTACATTAATCTGAAAATTATTATGCCGCACTTCTAACCAATTATTTACAGGTTGTAATTGAATGAAAACAACAACAACGAATAAAAAGCAGTAACCCTCCTGAAACTTCAATTAAGGCGAAGATTGTGTTCGGTAGCAAAAGAGTTGGCACTACGGTAGATTATATTATACTTCAATTTACTTTATAAAACAAATACAACAATAATCCGGCCCTTTTGGCACGCAAACAACCTGGATGGGACAAAAAAGCAGCTGGATTTGCATGCTTTTAAATTAAATGTACAACGCATTTGGGCTAAATAAAATTGAATGGCAAGAACGGATAAACGATGAGGTTTTTATTTTTGTTTACTGTATTCGTACGACTATTTTTATGCAAAATGGTATTAAATTGGGTTTAAAATTGAATAGTTTTCCCAGTATTTTGCTGCCTATTCAAGATTAATTTAAGTTTTAAATTATTCTAGAGGTTAGTAACTATGAACCTTTTGCAGCGCCCCGTGAAAAGCTGATGTAAATAACTACAGATTAAATATTTCTCTGGAAATCAGTCGCGCCATTATAGTCACCATCAATCGTTCTTCGTGTTAATTTTTCTTTAAGAATTGTCCGTATTGAAATATCCAATGATCGACCGAGTGTGGAAAGTAAATCGTGCGGAAACGAATCCGAATCATAACACATATTTTTAGTCTCCCGGAACGAGATGGGACGTTTTATATTCATATTTATACGCCTGGTTTGATTTTGAAAACAAGCGAGCGACTCTTCCACATAACGGACGAAAAATCCGAATTTTATTTAGCTTCAATGATGTATTTATTCAAAAACGAAAACGACGAAAACCAGCCACCTAAAATATCAAATGTCCAATAAAAACATATTAGAGCTACATAATTTAAATATTTTGTTCGGATCTCTGAGTTTCATGTAAAATTTATGCGGCAAATAGCTGGTTTATGCGCCCATATTTTCCCAACTAGTTTTATGTTGAGAAATTGGATAGTAGGCGGAAAATCTATAACGTTTTGTGAATGTAGTTAACATTATAGGAAGGTTTATAAACATATGGATCACTGGATAAGCGCTTACGAATTTAATCAATTGAATCACCGGAAATTTAGCATTTTTTTCTGAAAGACTGAAAAACAACTTTTTTAAATTTGTTAAGCAACTGGTCTTCTGAGGCAAAAAAAGCAACCCTGTCGCCTGTTTGTCGTTTTCTTGCTCATCGTAAAAAACTCATAACATTCTCGATACCCATTCGCATATCGCAAAAACTTGCGATGAATGCAAATGTCCGATCTCGGGAGTATCCGTACGTTTGGAAACACGTTTTCCATTAAATTTGAGGCCAAAACAAAATTGTTTAAGTTTACCACTGTAAATCAACGTGAAGAATAAGCAAAGAAAGTTTTCGCCCACTTTCAGAAAATTTATACATTGTAAAATATTAGACGCATGTTATTTGGCTTGCCTAGTTTTTTTAAATCCTCCCAATGGTTTGTTTGTCTTATGCCCTGTTATTTAAGTTGATAAGAACTTATTTAGGATTTTTTTCAACTTTTGCAACTGGCTTTCACAAAGTTTGGTGAATGTAAACTGCTCAACAAAACCAACGTTACACTGACAAATTTGGCCTAACTTTGGAACTGAATAACTTCTGACTGCTTACTTAGAACGAACTTATTTCTGTAGGAAGCGTTACTTAGTGCAATTCTTTTTCGGTTAATGCGTGGTTTTGAGAAAAAAAATAGTGCGTTAGCTAAAGTTTTTACAGGGTGGCAAATGAAACAATGCAAAAATGTTCGAAGTTCCACGTGTTCTCAGTTGGCAAAAACACATTTTCTGGCATTTAACACCACAAGCATTAAAATAGACGTTTGACTTCCAACACAATTTTAGCATTTTTTGTCGTACAAAATCTACCTTTTCTCCCAAAATTTAGGGTTTATATTGAAGGTAAAACTCCACAATAGACCTCAGAAAATAATAATTTAATATACCGGCTTGCATCAATGAACTAAATATTTAAAAGTATACTTCACTTAGCTAAAAACATTCCAAAATCACAGATATGAGGGGGCAATTACGATTTGGGTACGTTTTGTGCAGGTCTGTAAATCGAATTTTATTGTTGCGAAACCAAAAAGTCTAATTTTTTGAGACTAGCTTGTAAATTGGAAAGATGGCCGAAAAATTCGAAAAACTCATTAAACTTTTAGTATTGAGATCCACATTTTCTTTGCCCATATTTTTTATATATTGAGCACGCAAAACTTTTAGAAATTTTGYWATT